AAATTTTCATTGCATAACAGTTTTCCCTTAACATATTTCCAAGTAAAGTAATTTAAAGTAAAATGAGGCACATTCTGAAATAAGAAGCGGGAAATTGTTCCTTCAGTCTCATCCTTTAACAGTAAAGCTTAACTAACCCGATCCTCAGAAATTGCTGAATATTCCGGTAGTAACTGAAAAAGAGGGTGGGGGAGATTGTAGCCATTCTTTAGATTTAAATTAGGCTAAATAAATGATTTTGACATTTCAATATGTGCATCGATCGACCAATGGAACTGAGAAATATTTCTGCTTAGAAGCACAGTAAAACTCCTTTAAGTGTTCATAAACAAATCTCAGACTGAACATCAAAATTAATTATCTCTGCAAATACCGCAAACGTATTGTGGAATACGTGCGGCGTAATTCTTCCATATGTGATACGCAATCGGATCAAACCTGCCAGTATTTGGAGAATAAAGAACAATAAAGGTAAAGAAAGAGACTTACTAATCTGGGGTGTTTCTGATTCTAATTTTCAACAGACTGCGTTAAATTTCCAGAATAGAATCAATCTTCACTTTGGTTGGGTAGACCACAAAAACTTTTAGTCCTATGCAATCCGAGCCCACCAGCGATTGAGCAGTAAAGTCGCTGAACACTGGTAGTTCGGTCCGAGGTTCGAATCCTGCGAACGGGCTGGCTGCATGCATGTTTTCGTGGTTTTCCCCCATGTGTAACGTGTATACAAGCCAGTTTCCCTTAGAAAATCCTCCACGAAGGTATCCCTCCCCTTAGGTAGATAGCCCTAGTGTGCTTTGCCCGTAATTAAATACACCAACACCTATTCAATCCAGATTGGACAGTGACAAAAGAAGTCCGCTGCTCCAATTTTGCGGAGAAACTCCCAACCTCCATACTGTATAATGTATTGCCAAAACAAATTAAATTATTTTGACTATCGATTACTTCATTTTATTAAGCCTTCAGAATATTATTCCTTAGAAGCTAATCTGTGTAAAAACACACCCATTTTTGGAAGTTTATCTATACTTCAGCGTTATGCAAACTATATATTATAAATATTCATACATATGCTCATAATATAAGCTTAACGATCATAATAAACATGAATATGAACTGACCACGCGGAACGAGAATGCAAATTATTAAAATCTTTATAGAAATTCAAGCGTGTGTAGTATTTGGGTGGGAGGAAAAGAATACCAAATGTACCAGAATTTTCTATCATTTTTGCAATTCTTTGACCAATAGAACGACATGCACCTGTCTGTACTCTCGTGCGCATCATAGGTTACGTTAATGCAGAGGAAGGGGGGAAAAGCAATTTCTGGGAATATGATTCACCATCTGACGTTACATTTTATAAGGAAGAAATGTTGTTTATTTAGTTTCGGCTTTGGTACGGGGAAAAAATGTGCGTTCATGAAAAACAAAGGAATAAAAAAAAGCACTAAAAATAAATAAGCACTAAAAACAAAAACATAAGGGCTTTAAAGAAAAAGTAAGCACTTATAAGGGCCTTTATATTTTATTTTCAAATATAAGGACTTATAAGCACTTGTAAGGACCGCTACGAACCCTGTTACAGATATTTTTAATAGAAAAACTGACTGTTTCAATGAAGTTTTATCTAGAATGGCAGAATTAGATGGATTTCCTTTCAGAGCATCTTGTATTTCAATTGAATTGAGAAAGTTATTAATTGCAAGAGGTTACAAAATATATCAAAATTTGTTAATACTATAAGAATGCAGTTCTCCGAACAAAGAATTCACAGCATTAAAATGAATAGTACAAAATTTAGCCCCACATTTGATAAAAGGACAAGTATTGGAAATAGATGTTACTTAAACATAAATATTCATTCAGAAAGGAAAATTTGGAATACAGACTCACACACGCGTCAGGAAATATGCCAGCTACATAATGTGTAGAAATAGTTAACTGCAAATTGAAAGAACATGGATTATCTCTCAAAGAAGATATTGCCTGATGGAGCAATGACGATGAAAAAATTTGAAAGCCAATTAATGCAAATCAGCAATTATGCTATATTCATAGAATTCAACTTAATCAGTATGCTGTATCAACAAAGTCAAGAGCAGAAAAAGCAAAACACTCTGGATTTAGAAAGTTTGAAGAGAGTGATAATGACGAAAATAATAATACAATCATTGAAAATACCTTAATTGGAAGTCAAGAGGAAAATAGAAATAAGAACAAAATATTAACTTAACAAGGATTGCTTTCTATAACTAAGAAAATTCAAGAAGTTGGTAAGATATTTAAACCATACGTTTATTATTTAAATTAACCCATTATTGTGATTTGGATCTTTACTATAACTTCTCCTTTTTGTTGTCCTCACCATAATGCAAATAAGTTAGTATTTAAACTGAGGACTTTGGATTTTAAGGCAAAGTGTGTTTTTAAACATAGCCTGTGCCTGCATGCTATATTTAGTTCCTGCCAGCTCTGAAAACTTTAATTATTTGGCTTTGCATTATATTGTGACTGACCCTTCTTGACTGTGATGCTCCAGTTAGAATTACAGAGCCAGCTTTAAGTATAATTATGCAGTCTTTGACTACAATTCTATGTTTTAATTTCAATTTGAGTGTTCTGTTTAGTTCCGTCACAATGAGCTGTGGCTAATACTGTTAGCACAAGAAAGTGAATTTATGTTTTAGATTTCTGTTTAAATAAAAAGGTTATTAAAACGTTTTCACGATTTGTAGATGCTTCAGACCCAGCGTTAATTTGCTTCACATCTGATTGGTTATTAGTTACAGATAAGTAAAATCCTATAAAACGTTCTCCTACTGAAAATGTCATTTAAAAAAATATATATACTTACTGAAAAGAACTGCTAATAGTAATGTTAGATTCTAAAACCCACTGGAACAGTTTGATGTTGATGATGGACCAACTTTTGAAATTAAAAAAATCCCATTCAAAAAGTGTTAATTGACTTGAATTAACAAATTAACTTTTCCGATATTGGATTCAATTTAATACCTAAAACTGTGTCAGCTCTGTTTTCAATAAAAGGTGGTGTGGAAGCATTATGTAATAAATTTTATGTTACAAATACTTAAAAGTCCTGACATTGCATTATCTGAGGAATTAATACAGTGCACCAGAGTTTCACATAAAGGAAGGGCACAGTGAACTATAAAATATTTCGAGATACTTACATAATTATAATGACTTTAAAAAAGAAAACAAAAAGTAAGTAAAGAGGCTAAGTTGGACAAATTTAATTAAGTTTGTGTAAATTTTCCCAAAATTAATTTATGAAAAGCAAGCACAAACCTTTCCAGAAGAATTCGTTGAAGATGATGTTGATATTGTAAAAGAATTGTCTTTTGAGAATAAATTGCAATTAGCTGTAAGTAAGAAATTGCTACAAACGATTGTTCAAAAGTAATACAAAAAACCGTCAAAGAGACTGAGTTGATAGAAAATGAAGACATTGAAGAAAATATTTAGAGGAAGTATAGCATTCATTAATAGTACCCTAACCAGCATGGATTCGGAAGGAACATTTTCAGCTGCAGGTAATTTGTGCACAAAATTTTTATGTGATATTTCTTCTTCTTAATAATAATACTGTATGTTTTGTTCCTTTAATCTATGATAATACTGTAAAGGTTTATTTTTTATATTATAATTTTTGTTTCTAATGTTATATGCATATGGCTAATGTCAAATTATGGCTGGATTAATAGCAATTCATCTACGAAAGTAGGATGAGAACATTTATTGAAATATAATGCATGATGCCTCTCTTGATAGATGACCACACTCCCCATGCAAGAAAGCCACTTTGCAGTATTCGCTGGAATAACTAGAAATGTTTAGACTTGATGATACAATCTACACACTATCTGATAAACCTTCCATAACTACCAATTTTTGCACCCCGATGAGTTATAGTGCAGGAATTCCATTTGTATACTATCATCCATCCACCTTTTGTAGGCAAATTTCATTTAAAGATTTTATACTTTGAGATATCATTTATGACATACAGAGGGATCTGCATTTTAAAGCTTCTATCCAATTTGTGAGTGTATGTAGGGCATTATTTAATACTAAATCAGCAACACTCTACTGTGATGTTATCTACTTCTTTTAATTACATCTCACAGTCCTCATGATAGGATCGCAAACTTCCAAAATTCATCTCTAGGAGTGGAGAAGTCAGTCTCATGTCATACAGCACTGTCACTTTATATTAGGTAAACACAATTTTCAAAACTCTAGCTTTCTATATTGAAACCAATGCCTATCCTAGACCACTAGCTGCACACGAGAAAATTTAAATTGCCTGCCCTTTTTTTATACAGAAATATAGTATGTTTGATTATCCTTTCACTGCTCTTTAAAATGTGGCGGGGCACCTCTTGCCCCCTCCCCGCTAGGTTCAGCCCTGACTGAAACATTATGCTGGTATTTAAGGACGTACTGCATATACAATAAATGATTTTCAACTAAAAATTTTAAAATTAAAATGGAATAGCTTTTATTCATTTTACTTTCAAAACTCAAAATTCAGTAGGCAATTAATTAGCAAAAATATTTAATGATGGGGCAATTAATAAAAATATTTAGATGAAGCCAGTTCCCTAACACTGACTTCTCAAGAAGACCTTCAGCTCAACAAATGTTTTAAGTGCTGCATGCTGCAGAAACACTATATATTTATACAATCACATGCTTTCTCTGTGATTCAAAACGAGACCCAATGTTATGCAAACAGCTTTCCTACCACTATGCCCACGAGGTGACAATTCCTGCTATGAATTTTTTTTTAAATCACTTTTCTAAAAAGGACTCATGAATAAATCTAAAATAGCTTTACAAAATTGCCATGAATAGCATGAATGTTACAGAATATAAAAAAGGAAAGTCCTTTTAAATAAATAAGAAATAAAAGATGGCAATATATTAAATTTTAACTAGGTATCTGTTTCAGTTTAAAGAACTATATGTAAGAAAAACAAAAATATATGTCAATTTATTAAACACTTTTTATATACATATCACATATATTTAACAAAGAAAACAGGTCTCACTTACTCAAAAAGAAATAAATATTGAAAGTTGTAAAATTATAGCTTAATATGAAATGACATTTATATGCATAAACAGATGGCATGTATTTTGATTCACATATATTTTGTTCTTAATTAAATATTTCAGTTCCTTTCATCAAAAAGCTTATTTTTTGCATACATTATCAGACTTTTTTATGCCCGAGTCATTATAAAATACAAGCTGCTTATTATAAACTATACCAAAGGTAAGATATTTTTAATGATATTAAAATAATTTTGTAAAAACTTTATAACAATATAAAATTATTTTTTTCATAGTTTAAGTTATCAAAACAGGCAAAACTATTATTAAATTAACTGATTCAACATAATAATTAAAACAAAATTGACAATAATTGATATAGTTAGGATCTTTTTCATAATTTCCAAGTCAAACATTGCATTTGCAAATGCCTGACTAAAGTGAAGATGGTAGATTTTGTTCATCCCAGACACTTATTCCATCACACTGACAGATCCGTTTTGGATTTTGGAACAGTCCAGAAGATCGGGCTATAATTGCACAAGCCAAACTATGAAAAATGAAAGAAAAAAACATAAAATTATTAATGTGAATATTATTTATTGCTAATGAATTTTTACTGTGAATATTATTTATAGCTAATTACTTATTTACTGCTTACACAACTTATTTACTGCTAATGAATGAATCAATTGAAGTTATTGATTCATGAACACTGAGCAAAGCAATGATCACAACAAAATTCACCCTGCATTAACAGTCAAAACTAAATAAAAAGTAGTGGTATATAACACAGACTAATTTACATGCAATGATTCATAAACCTATCATCTATAATCAACATAATATTTGCAATACATCCAACTCTTAACATAAGAATCGATGATAATGTAAAATTTCTTTCTTATTATCAGAACTGACCAAAAATGCACAAAACATTGGAAGATATAACATATTTAAAATGATACAAAAAAAAAAAAAAAAAAAAAAAAAGGCAACTGCATAGGTTTTGAAATGAAATTCTCATTCTTGAAATGATCTGACACTTCAGATCTTCACTCCTGCTTTGAGTATTTACAGTATGATACATTTAGACCAAAATTTCTACATCAAAAGTTCAGATGATTGTTTCTGATTATTCTGTCTACACTGATAATGATTTCAAACCATGCATCTTTTGAATCAATTCCAACAACATTTCAAGTGAAATTTTATCCTCGTATTCCAGTTCTGCTTTGAATTCTCTACAAATTTCAGCTTTCTGGAAATTATCTTTAATTAAAACAGAATTCACGGAAGCATTGGCATCAGGGAGAGAGGAGCAGGAAATGTAAAATCGAGATAGTATTAAATTAATTATTATCAATATAAAAAAGGCTAATAAAATTCAGGAGGTTGCTATTTTGAAATTTACCTTTGATGTTTAAAATCTATTCATAAGAGACTAGATTTCCAAGCAGGATCAATCTACTGCCTGATTGTTTGAATCCAAGATAAAAACAATTATTCTTAGTAATTACAGTGAATCAAATCAATAGCATTCTTAGTGATTCTAATAACAGGCTTCAAACTGTATTGAAATGCTTTGGTCAAGAGGCTGCAATTGAGAAATAGGGATAGATAGAGCACTTTGATTGAATTTTGCTTTACAGAAAAAGAACAACTACATAGAAAATAATTTGTCTAAGGTTTATTTCTATAACTATATTTCAAATAGAAAAACATCTCAGCTTTTTTACTAGGGATCTACTGATATATATGAAATAGCCAGAAACACTGATTATTTCATTTGTATTAGATATGAAAGTCACAACTGTTTTTCCTTTCTATGCAGCATTTAGACAAGGAAAAAAGAAGTGTCAAGTGCAGTTTCAAATGTTTTCCACCACAACACTTTTTATTGATTTAATGTGAAACTTTATTTGGAAAAATAATCTGATCACTTCAATACTATAAATATCTCATGCATATTTTGTAAGAAATAGCTTTAACTTGATCCAACAATATTGCCTACAGAAAGATTCATCACAAATTTGAAAGCAAATAATATCATATGAAATATTAAATTTACTAATCCATCTGCTATTAGCCTCTAAGTAGGGCAGTGCTCCCAATTTGGCAGCCCGTAGGCCACACATGGCCTCCGTAGCAATTTTATGTGGCTCACGAAGACATTTCAATAATGCATTTGTTGCACAAATTTCAAGATTTTAGTTATTCAAAGTTCAATTTCATATTACTTCCTTTCCACTAAAAACAAACATGAATAACGCACCAGAAAATCTATGAATTGTATTAATCAATTTGCAATGTGATACGAATCATTTTGAAGATACAGATTTATTAAATTTTTACATAGATTTTATTCACTTTTATTTGACTTATCAAAAAATAAATAAGCTCAATTAAAAATGTTAATACTAAGAATACACTTTTTTTTGTTTAGGAACACATTAATATGTGAGCGGCTTTTTTTGCAGTTGAAAATTAATAAGAATACCTGATTGACCAATCAGCATCTACAATCTGTGATGAAGATAATTTCTATGTAAAGCCATCAAAGTATGCAGTTATAGTGAAAAATAAAGAAATTTATAATTGTTTACACATAAATGTATATTTATGTATTTTTATTTATACATCAAAGAAAAATTTAATTAAAGAAAGAAAGAAGAGAAAGAAACTTGGTTGCCATTATTTATTCTCAAGTCTCATCCCACTTGGAAATGTTTATCTGAAAACTTGGAAAATTTCATTATTTGTTTATTTTTAGGTTAAATTAAAATAAATCATTTAATGATTAATTAAGCATGTTAGAATTATTTGAAAGAAATGTCAATTTAAGAATTTAATATTTAGCTGTTATTGTATTTGAATTACAAAATGAGATCAACAAAGTGTCTTACTGGCACCAAAGTTTACATTTCAGAGAGAAAATATTTATAATTTTTTTCCCTTTATGATATTATTATTATTTATGCTGTGTTTTTATAAGTTTTTAGCAAGCAAAATTTAAAAATGATTCATTTTTTTAAAAAAATTTTGTTAATAAATTTTTCATTAAAAAAATTCTGGCCTGTCAGTTGTTTTCAGATCTTGCATGTAACCTGCATGCAATTTAAGACTGAGACTATTAAGTTATGGTACTTAAGCCCAATTGTACAGATTTTGGTTTTCTTTTCCAAAACAGCATTGCTAAATTGCAGATTCCAAGTCTTTGAATTATAAAAACAATGCTTTTCAGTGTTTGGATATGGAGGACTAAGAAACTGTTTCCTTCTCTGCTATATGGCTTATAGAAAAAGTTTAAGATGTTGGAAAACAGGAGGCTGAAGTTCCGAATTCTATAGCAACAGACAACCTCTGGTTGCAGAGAATTGCATTGCAACACATGACTAGAAACGCCAAGGTTAAATGATAGCAGAGGGACAAAAAGGACACAAAAGAATAATCAATTTGAAACATCTGTTGGATATCATGAGTACAAATGGCATAGCAGATGAATATAGCTCTAATGTTATAACAGATGCTCGAAGTTTGCACCATCAGATGCCAAGCATGCCTGATACCAATGGAAAATTGACTGCCAGACACAATCGAACACACTGGGAGTTTGACTCTAGCAGCAGTGCAGAATAGTTTTGCCAGGAGATCCATTTCAGGTTTCATACGATCATGGTACACAATAGCTTTGAGGACCCTCCACGGAAAGAAATCAAGGCTCAATAAATCACGTGAGTGTCTGGGGGGGGGGACAGGGAACCAGTCCATCATGCCCAATCCATCGATGCAGTTATGGCCTATTAGAATGCCTACGAAGAACTAGTCCAAAACAAGCAAGCACCTCATTATGTTGGACACACATCTTAGCGCTTCACATTTGTTGGATCATCATCACGTAAGATGGGAAGAATCTGCTCTAGAAAAATCTGATAATTTGCGGTGGTCATGCGGAATGGTAAAAGAACGTTTTGACTTAAATAGCCACCAATCAATCCTGCCCACGCATTTACTCTGAAGCAATGTTGTACCATACACTGTGGGAGTTCTCTTGAGCCCACAAATACTTATGAAACTTTCCCCTTGGATGCAAAAAAGAAACATAACATAATGACAATCTATACAAAAAAGTCTGATGATTATATTTTATTACACTAAGTCATCAGAATATACATATACATATATAATTTAACAGAAATGGTTTGGCTACAACTAGAAATAATACACATCCTTGAAACCATGCAAAACTGCATCGAAAACCAATCATTATACAGATATGAATTATGTACTGAAAATTTTCTTTTTGAATTATGAAAAATAGCAGAAATCTTAGTTTTTGAATGTAAGAGAAAAATAAGTTAGGGCATTGGTTTTAAAAAGAGCTCGAAATTTATCAGAAAGTAAAAGATAAGGAATATGTAAAAATGCAATCTAGTGAAAATGTTTTCCCCCTTCAAAACTTTGATTTTTCAGCTATAATAAGCCATACAAGAGCTATCTGCCTGTGACAAGAGATGCCTTTTCACAAAAAAACTTTTATTAATCGGAGAATTATACATGTTTATGTTACCACAAACAGCCTATTCAGCTCAGGAAAACAATGCAAAGTAATCTTACTAGTGCATCTTCAGCTTATTAACTACTAGGCAGCATTCTAAAAATTTTTTCAAAGTACAAAATTACTTTTAAAATATTGTTCAAAATCAAAATTCTATTTTTCTTTCTTAAATTGAAGAATTTTTTACACGCGAGTTTTTTATCATAGGAATTTATTGCTTATGTACATTGAAATCTTTTAAGCGTCTTTCAAATTTCACAGAAAAAAACTTTTTTACTTTTTCAAAATAAATAAAAATTAAAAACGAGTTAAACATTTAGCACTATAAAAAACGCCATGAGTCAGAAAATTTTACATAGAAACAATTTTTTTCAAAAATTATTTTTCAATTTTCAAAAATGGTACAGCTGTTTAAAGTAAAATTTTTAAGATGTGAAAAAGTCTAAAAAACTGATTAAATATACTTATCATTTTAGACTAAGCGTACTCTTAGTTGAACTTCCAATTACTTTTTATTAACATGAGGCTATTTTAATCAACAGGAAAGGAAAATTAATCAGCTAATTCTGACAATCCTGATCATGAACAGACCTTAGGATTTTCAGTATGTGTTAGAGATAAAAAAAGATAAGATGTTATATACATGCAATTGCTTTCTTGTTGAATAAGCAGTGATTCTACATGGTCATTAAGTTTATTTAACCACTTCGGATCATACAAGCAGTAATTAAACCTTTTAACCTCAGAAATGAATCTTAGTAAACTCGTAGGAATTAAAAATTACCTATCAATAAATAGTAAAAGAATGAAAATGAAGAATTTTAAAGTCTTAATGTTTCTTTCATTTATTACCATAATGAAAAGTACAACATGGCAACTCAAGGCTTAGTGTTTTCAAACATTTTTAACACCATCAACACATTTTAAAACTGAACAAAAATAATCATCAATAAAACAGGCATACTTGTTACCATGCAGTAATTTCCAAATAACTGAGTTCTGTGAATTTATAAATCTCTCACGAGAAAAAGATTTCAGTGCATTATTTAAAAAGAGGAAATTTATGAAAACAAATTATACATGCATTTTTAAGAATCTGTTACACACACATATAAAAGAACATTTTTGTTGGATTTTTACATAAGTTTTACAGAAAACTTATCTAACGTGAAACATAACATATTTTAAATACTTCAGTAAATGTTTAAATTTAATTTTCATTTCTCAGCAAAAAAAAAAAAAATTTCAAATTAGAATAAGCTCACTTCTCTAAGTTTTATATCAAACAAAAAGGGATCGATAACTGAGAAACAAAAGGCTGAAATAGGCATAGCCTTTTTAACAGTATAAAGGATTTTTATTTTTTAGATTAGTCAAGCTCACAGGCAGAATAAAAGCAGCAGATAATTACACAAAGAAAAGAACCTCATCCATTATGTGATATCCATAATAGTGAAAAAGGTTTTGAAAAACAAAGCACTGACAAAAAAAAGGGGGGGAGGAAAGAATAAAAGAAAGAAAATATTTCCAAAAAGCAAATCATTGGAATAACTCAGAGGTCAAATGCCAAAAGAATTGATAGAATATGGATGCAGGAAAATATGAGAACAAATAGAAAACACTTTCAGAAGATTAAATTTTAAAAAAGCCAACATAAAAAATGCTGCAATTCTGCAATTTTCTTTTCTAGTCACATTTCCAACTTTTAGAACTTTCTGGAGTTTATTTCTTTCTTTGGTACAAATATATATTCTTTTGCTATTCTTCTCACTTTTGACAAGTGAGAAGTGAGAAGTGAGAAAAGTGAGAAGCTTAATGACACAGAAAGCTCTTATTGACTTCTCATGTTCTAAATAATGCCACAGAATAAGAAATGTAATTACAAATTAGAAAGAATTTAGAGAAACTACTACTTTCTAACATCATTAAATCGTATACTATAGTATACTAATTAATATCAAAATAATTAAATTACCCGTATCCTGAATTTCCATCAATTTTAGAAGACTCATTTGATTCATGCCCAAGATCATCTCTGTCAGAAGTGACCACAATGGATCGTCCAATAATATCCCATACTTTAATCAAGTGGTCTTCTTTTCGAAAACTAGCTCTTCCATTTGCACTTGCAGTTATGTTACCCAAATCCCCATAATGCTATTAAAAAAATTATTATATCAAAGTTTATATTAACTTTGAATTAATAATAAGATTACTTTTGACAATGAACTGCAAAATAAAAACAACAGACTTAAAAAAAATCATATTTTTTTAAATAAAATTTTAAAAAGGAAAAAACTTCTGATTTGTTCAGCAAATTACAATACAAATTAACTAGAAAAGAAGAAATACCATTACAATGTTAAAAAATTTAACTTTTCACACTCTTGCAAACCCAAAGACTAGCTGATTGATTCCACAATAAAAACTTAAACATAATAATAATAAAATATCTGCTAGAGAAAATATCAATTCTTTCAAATTATTTATCCCTAAAATCATGTATCTATACATTGTTTCATGAGTAAATTTAGGAGGAGGTCTACAGTTATCGCAACTCATAAGACATAAATATACAGTTATGAAATACTTGTTGCTCTTGACAACTAAAAATTAGCTTGGTATTGTTTTCAAACCCATAACTTTATACAAAGTAGATTACCATCCTAAAATGGATAAAACCAGGAGATTACTCTTATTTGTCAGTCTGCAGCAAATATACATAATTTTTGTAAGTCCTAAAATACAGGGTGATTATAATTAAAGTTGCAATTTCAAAATGCTCCAACTTTAAAACTACAGGTCAGAATGACTTCATATTTTACAAGAACAATTCTGAGGTAATGGAGTTTGTTTGGCAAAGTAAAAAAAAAAAAAAAAAAAAGTACCAAAATTTGTCAATAGATGGCACTGTCAGTGTTCAAATTACTGTTGTGGATGTATAGCCCAAAGGAAACAAAAAGACAAGAATACATGTTTACAGAGAAAACAGCGATAGTGACAAGAGAAGCTTCATGAAACAAACATCTTATAGATGATTAACACATAAGCTGTTCAGTATGCTCTTCTCCTTGTCCCCTGCTAATTGGAAATGCAAAACTGCATGTTCCACAACAGATCGCAGCTAATGTATAAACGTAATGCACGATGTTTGCCTTCAAGTTGGCCAGATTTGCAATCCGCCCACTGTAAACAACATTCTTCAGATATCACCCAAGGTTTTAGTCGGGAGAGCGTGGTGGCCACATTGTTGAAAAATGATGTGATTCTATCATCTTCGAAATAAGCGATCAGCAGCTGCTTCACACGAGTAGCAATTCTGCGGAGGAGCGCTTTCTTGCATGAATATTGTGCGATCTACACATTGGCTTTGCTAAAGTGACGGAAGGACATGGGTACGCAAAAACGTGTCATACCACTTGCCAGTGATGGACCCGCAGATGTGATCTCCTTGAAGAAGAATGGACCAACAACAAATGCTGCCATTATTCTGAAAAACACAGCAACCTTTTCAGAGCGAAGAGGTAATGGCTGCTGAGGGAACAGATTCTTGTTCGCCCATATCCTGCAGCTTTGTGTATTTACAGAATCGCAAATGGAAATGAGCTTCATCAGACATCAGAATGTTCCATTCCACTTCCATCCGGGCAAGAAATTGTAGTGTAAACAATTCGCTTGTTTCCAGGTCAACAGGTAGCAACTGCTGCATGTGATTTACCTTATACGGATAACAGCACAAGATATTTTGCAGGACTTATCGTACCTTGCTGATAGGCATCTCAAACATTCGGCCAATTCCCCATGCACTGCTGATTCCTGCATCACTGCTTGTCAGTTCTTGTAATACTATGGCCACATTTTCCACTGTCCACTGAAACTGGTTTTCATCCTCTACCTCATTTCATGTCAAATGAACCAGTCTCTTCAAATTTATCTATTGTTTAATATCCGCAGGCCATATATGGTCACTGGGCGGGATTTTATGCGGACCTTCCTGATAGCTGTTAATGCGCAGTCAGTCACCATTCTAATAAAAAAGCTTTATGAGAAGTGTACAATCCTTCTTCGTCACTCACGATGAAGCACTCAGGCACAAACAATGTTACGTGTGTTGTTAGTGCTTTGCATTTTTATTTTAGCCATGTCTGTAGCATGGCTTTTTATTATTAGAGGATCATCTTTTAATATACAAGATACCTAGGTGATGGATTGGTGCTTACACCAGGGACCCTACCCTTTGTAGAATACCACACAGAGACCCTACCCTTTGTAGAATGTGCAAGTAATTTCAAATGGTGAGAGAAGATGAAAGATGACATATACAAAAGCTTTACAAAAGGCTAATAATTATTTTTTTCCTTAATTAATTAATTAACTAATTTTTTTGTTAATTTTAAAAATAGAGTTTAAGAAGTGATCAAATCACTATGAGCAATAAATGCATGAACGAGATGGACACCTAGGAAATCAGCCTAAAGTAGAAAAGCTCCTAAGATCTGGGGGTGTTCGAGCCAGTGCAGATTTCTGCAATAGAAGGGGTTAGTGCGAGTTTCTAAGTGCCAAGTGAGATTGAATGTATACACACAATTATATTTACATAAATAAAGTTGCACAGTCACAAGTCAAACAAAAATATACAAGTTACATATTCTGGACATTGAGAATGGCAAGCGGTCAATTTAAATTATCAAGATCATTGTACTTATAGGAACAGATTTTGATTGCAGGATTATCGATGTTATTTTGCATCTCATGAAAACTCTTAGCAAATTTATAATAGAAGGATCTTAGTTGGACAATTTTAGGTTCCTCATGGATTCTATCGTTTCTAACATACCATGGGGAGTTAGTTATTTGCCGAAGTACTGCATTTTGTGCAGTTTGAAGTTTCTTACAATGGGTTTTAGAAGCAAATGCCCATACTGAGCAAGCATGCCACAACATGGGATGCAAAATGGACTTGTAAATAAGATTTGTACACAAGATGCTTGTAACCTCTTTCAACAAAATAGGAGGGTTGATGGTACAGTACAAATTAATTAAATAATAATATAACTAACAAGCTGAAATGTCAACAGTGAATACAAGAAAATCCTATGTTGCACAATCCCGTTCAGATCACAGAAGAACACAAAGTGGATCCAAGGGTTTCACTGCACACCTCACATTGGTGAACAGAAGACAGCCACATTCTCTCAGAGACTCTTGGTATCACATTTATCAGTCCACTGCAACACCAATGCTCATGAGGAGATCTTACACAATTTCCCAGATGTCTTGTACACCAATGATTTCATATCTTCCCATAAACAGAAAACCACTGAATTTAGGTCCAATGAGTATAATGGCCAAGTCACAGGTCTATTAAGTCCAAACCAGAATCCAGAATATGCAGCATTCAAGAAACGTCAAACTGCAGTGGTAAAGTGTGCTGATGCATCTTCATGCATAAACCATATGTCCCTTCACATGTTCACATGAAGTATAGTGAGCAGAATAGCCTGCAACAAACCAAGAAGGACATCAGAAATGATACTATTATTTTCAATATACAAACCTGTTCACCTGTGCCCGTCAAACAATTCGAAGTTACAATCTTTAATTTTATAATTGATAACACCATTTCATAGCTAGAAAGTAGGTTTGAAAAGCATAGGTTGTATGAAGACAGATCTCTTCTCGATCCCAAAAACATTTCAAAGATATTGTCACCGAACAATTTCGACTATTTATCTATATTATTAGGGCACTATGCAGGTGTAACAATTAATAATCTTAAGGATGAATATCAGGACCTAGTAAATAAATCGAAAATACTAAAAAAATTTTTTCTTTCCGAATTTTTTGGCCAATCCGCCATTGATTACTACTCGCACTGAAGGTACTGCTTCATGTATTTTTCCTTCTAACTTTATTAAGAATGGTTTTTGGCAGACAACCTTTATTACAACCAGATATTTTTTCACATTTAAAATAATAATTTAAATGCAATTTTGGATGATGAGTACAAACACAACAAAGAAGATTTAATAAAAGATTTCTTAGCTTTCATGAAAGCGAAAACTTTCGAAATTTCTCATTACATTCAACTTACTGAATATCTAATGACACACATACTCATTTAAACAAACCTGAAACTACTAAATTCTGATATGAGATAAAAGCAGAAATAATCTTCAGGTTTTATACTACTTTAAGGAAGTACAAATTAAATATAATGTGTTGTTAAATTTTTGGCTTACTTAGCTTATGAGTGTTGAAGCTCATGACAAATACAATTCCCGATATTTTTCCTATTCTGCAAGCAGAATAATGTGAAAATAACATGTATGTCATACTGCACATTATAACTAGTTTCAAATTTATATTGAACCATATACACCTTCACTTGTGCATCATGTTTTTTATATGTTATTTTTGCATATTCCCTTTCCATTCAATGCATAAGTGAAAAGTTAGATACTTGAGTTTACATAAAACTTGAATTATGTGCAGCATCACACAGAATATGAAATCCTGCATACAATTAAAATTTTACTTCATCAAAAATTACTCTCAACCACAGAATCTGAAGTACTTTAATCATGTTATTGTGAAATTTTTCTAATTTTTAAAGCAGTTCATTAAGTGATTGATGTTATAAAATACTAATGAAACTAAGAAAGTTCATATTTTAATGATACAAAATAGCTGATAGTGCAAGATTTTGATTTCTATGTTAAAATGAGCAGAGGATATACTACTGAATGAATATTTTCCAGATAAACAAGAATTTAGGAAATTTAGAACTTACTCTTTCGGCATCATTTGGTCCCCCATGCTTTGAGCCAGTTGGATTGAAATGAGGTCCTAAACTAAAAGATAAAATTTCCTAATGAAATATTATGTGCAGAAATCCTTTAGATAAAAAAAAAAAAATCATAAATCTACAGATATCGTATTTAAATATTAATAAAACCTATATATCTTTATTACTTATCCATAGTAAACTATTAATGTGGACAGTTACAACCCACCAAGTTTTTATTTATATTAGAAGTTGACAACTTTAAATTATTTTAACAGTAATGAAAAGTGTACATAAACAACAGCTAAACTAGTAAAACAAAATTCAAATATCAAGGAAGCATACAAAAAGATAAAAGAAAAATAGTTTTTGAAAGAATGGATCTTTTTTCATATCATTCTCCAGCTTCATGACATTCGAAAGTCTGATAAGCAAAATTATATTTGCTGATATAGGTGCAGTTATATTGGTTATATAAAGGTACAGTGATATAGGTGCAGTTATATTTGCTGATATAGGTGCAGTTATTTTTATAAGTTTATTCTGAATGTCATGTGCCATTTCATCAAGACAACTTTTTTTGTCTTTTAAAAGTTTTCTCTCTTTCTCCTTTTTTGAGGGGAGGGAGGAATAGTTTAGCCAGAAATTATAATTTTGTTATTCTTAAAACTTTTGCTTGCATCTTCCAATAAGCAATGTGAATTAAATGATATCTTTAATATTAAATGCCTCTATGTTTTGAATTGAAAAAATAGTCTTCCCAAATAATGATGATATTTTTACGCAGAGAAGCATGAGAAAAAGCAACTATTCAATCATGTGAAGATACTTAAATTAAGTAGGACCCTATGTTTTTTTTTAAAAAAGCACACTATTTTACTAAAAAAAATGAAAAAAAATCTGAATTATGATATTTTGTGAGTATTTTAAAGATGAAATGTCTCCTTTTTCTGTGTTTGACACCTTGTCCTTTGGACCTGACCTAAAAAAAAAAAAAAAAAGGTGTGTGTGTCACACACACACACACAAAAAAAAAAAAAAAAAAAAAAAAAAAAAAAAAAATACAACTCACAGACTGCTTAATTCAATTATGTATACAGCTTACTGAAAATTTTGTATACCGCAAAATGTATATATGAGTCAATAATCAAAACTGGAATTCCAAGATACTAATTACAAGGTAAATTCTTTTATTTAAAATTATTTAATCCAAGCTCACAAAGGTGAGTTTAAGATATTATGGGTTACTATTAGTCTACCATTAAAAGAAAAATGAAGACAGATCAAGAACATTTATTACAGCCTCTAAAAGTCAGCAACTTTAATTAAAATAATCAGAGTATATCAATTTAATCCCCACATGAAGAAAGATTTATTCAGCACTTTGATAACAAAAGCTATGCTACTTTTACATGATCCCTAAAACTCAATTTATAAATTAATGATGATAAAACTTTACATTAAAGTATTCAACAATAGTTATGAACATAAAATTGAGGAGTAAATAAAAAAAGAAAAATCTGGAAGAAAAACTGAAGAAAGGTAAGAATGATGTAGGCTCTACTTCACTGAAACCAAAACTCTGCATCTTATCCAAATACTCTGCAGACAATAATTCTGAATATAGCAAGGTTGAAGAAAATGAAGGTGAATGAGAAACAGCAAATGTAGATCACAATAATATATTTGAATACATAGAGGTATTGAAAAAGCATATATGTTTAATAAATGAAGTTTGAAATACATAAATTTTGCAGTATAAGAATGCTTTGTGAATCTGTGCGAATGTGACAATTTCATACAGCATCTGCCAGACCTGAAAAACAAGTCTACCACAGATATCTATCAAGAAAAGAAAAAAAATCTATATAAGTTTTATCATTTGTAATATTATTTTAAGTGAAGACTATTTTATAAGGCAAATCATGTGTTGTTATTTTAAAACCACTAGTAGTGATATAAAAATTGTGACATCATTATTTCTATATAGTAAGCATTGGTTATGTTATTAGGGCAATGTCATCAGACAAATAAAATGAACATTTTTCATTCACTCTATCAAGCACATTGTTTAAAACTACTTAAACTATTTATCTTCCCCAATTTGCATGGGGGAAAACATCATGAATTATTTAAAAGGGATTATTAATACAAAGTCCCTCATTTAATTATTTTAAAATAGCAACACAGCTATTTGTAATAAATTTTATATATATATAAAAAAGAGAGAACATACAAATAATTGATCAAGATCATCTGAAACATTTATAGCATCATAATAAAACCAGTCTTTTATTAATACATTTAGGGAGATTTCTTTCTTTCTTTTCTACCCCTTTTCTAGTATATGATCCTAGGAAATCATTTCAATAAAATAAAGTGAAATTTTATTTATTTATTTTATAATACAGGCCATTGATTATGATGGCCATTATTCATTCCTGGTCTCCTTTTTGCCAGAGGAAGAAAAAAAGAACAACTCTGGTTAAATCCTCACTCACTACAGTTAGCTAACATACATTTTATTGCCATTTAGTCCTAATAGGTTTTCCAAACTTTCTTGAATTCAAAAGAAAAATATTATAAATTATTTTTTACATTTTGTAATAACAGTCATTATTTTCAACTAAATATCATAGTTTTCCATACTTGATCATTAGCCGGACATATTAACTAATTTTGACCAAAGGTTTGAAATAAAATCAACAACTTATAAACTCTAGGAAAGCACAGGCAGTGCAAACAAAGCCTAATCATTAACAATCAGCTGCCATCTCTGAGAATATTTCATTTACAAATTTTCTAGTATAATAAACCCAAAAATAAATGTAGATAATTTTTCAAAAGGTGAACATACCAAATCTGAACATGATAATGAATCAACATCAGAAAATTGTAACAGGAGCACAGTAGTGCAGCTAGAGGGGTGGTGGAAGGTTGTGAATGTCCTGGGAAGAACAATTTGGAGGATGACATTTTTTATGCAAAGCATAATTTTATAGGGATCATCAAATGGATCAAGTATAATCAAACAGATGATCAGAGCAGAAAGAAGGATTGGACTTTTTTGTATCATAGACATCTTATCCACTCAGTAAATGGTGACACAAAGAATACAAGATGCTGTACAAAATTAACTTGGGGAGAAAATTATTTTATAGTAAATACTGTATTCAAAGAAATCACAAGAAGATTTCAAAAGCTTCATCTTTAGACTGCCGCATGGGAGTATCTGTGCTTTTCAAATACTCAGATAAAATTGCCCACTTTCTGTTATAGGATTGTTAGATTTAATGAAATCTTTTATTTTCATATTATTAATGCTAAATTATATTTATTTTATCTATTGCAGTGGTTTTCAGTTTAACAGTTATATAAAATACCATAATCCATATATATTGACATACTTCAAATAAGAAATAGTTTAATATTTTTTTACAGTACGACATCACTCAAAACAGTCAGCTTTGTGTAGTGAAACACTGCAAAATGTACAGTCAAAACCTGCTCTATATCTTCACCTTCCTTTTTTTTTTCCTCTACACTAGAGTTTTATACTTCAACTGCTGGTCACATAAGTTTATGTTTTCTGAAATTCGACGGTCTTTCGGGATGGTCTAATCTGAGAGTTCAGAATTTATCTTGTTCCATACAATTAGTTTCACAATCTTCTATCCATGAAACCGCCACTTTGTGCAGGGAAGTCTAGTACGTAATATTTTCCCCATTTAGAACTGTGCATGCTTTAAAAGAATTGAAAAGTGCACAGTTGATAATAAGTATTACAACTTGTTTAAACCATTTTTTTGTTATAAAAATGGTAGATAGATATTGGTCTGCATGATCTACGTCCATCACATATTTGCTATAATTTACAATTGAATCAGGCTTTTGTATTGAGCTGTCTGATCTTTTATTTCTTTTTTTTTTTGGATTTAATTAAATGTGCAGAATGTATAGATGGATCATACTGACATTTCTTCTGCCATTACTCCATACTTCTAACAAAAACTGATGGCTTCTACAAAGTTCATGCTGACATCTTGAAAGGTGTATTGTTTGGAGTGATTGAGAAAGACCTCTATTTCTTTAATGGTTCTGCGAGTGTGCAGAACCATTTATTTTTCAGAAGAATTTTAGCCACATTGACAGTTTTAATAATTATCTTGATAAATTTGGTGCCATATACAGTCAAAAGTCGTTAATTCGGACACCCATAATTCGGACATAAAAACTTAAAACTTTCTGCGCATGCGCCACGTTGACACATGCGCAGAGGCGTTCACGCGTGCGCGTAAGACCTTTTACGACTGCGCATATGAGTGTGCGCACTGCAGAATACGTTTTGCGTGCGCATTTTTTATGTATAATGACGTATAAGCTAAAATTGTCTAATTATCTATTTCAGTTAATGTTGATGATTGCGTTGTTCCTTAATTTTCGAATTGCATCCGGCTTATTATTTTTTGCAGACTGTAAGAGCAATTTTATAAAAGTAAGCTTAAACTTTCGATTATATCAATAGAATTTTCCTATATATTTGTTAATATGTAAAGGATCTAAAGCGAAAGTGTGTTTTGAAATCCGAAATCTGTTTATCAATTTTCACGCTGCTCGGCGGCGGCGGCGCTAATGAATTGAAGTGATTTGTCAGCACTATCCTTATCTTCAGCGCAGATGTTTTTTTTTTTTGGCTTATAATTCCTTACCAAATGTAGTATTTCATCTCGATATGCTCCGTCTTTTGATATGATTTAAAAAAGTTCCTCGTCATTATAATTCGCTTTCCGATAGCGAAGAAAAGTGACAGAGGTTTATTGAAAACAAAAAATTTCGATTGACAAATTAGTCGTGGTTTTTGACACAGCAATTATAGGATTTGAACGGCGGAACTTTGTAACTGAACAAGAAATTATGTCTGTTTAATAGAATTAAAGAGAAAGTATTATCACATGAAACGAAGCAAAACTTAAAACACTTACATTGAAAGAAATGTTTAATAAAGTAAACAAATAAATATTAAGCTTTTTCTTTTTGCAAATTTTGATACCCTTTAGATCATAATTGTTCTTTATTCATAAAATTACGGTTTCATATTTTTAATTTTAGAATTTCTGCATGCCATCTTACGAGATTTAAACTGATGATCTATAATCCGGAATCGCCGAAGTCCCGACGAGTCCGGATTAACGACTTTTGACTGTATTCTTAATTGGTTCAATAACTGTTAAAACAGTGTCTTCTAATTTTCTGCCATCAGCAACATACACGTGAAAGTTATATACATATCCTGTCCCAGGCGATCACAATGCATTCCACATATATTCCATGTTTTGTAATTTTTGTAAGATTATATGTTTTAATCAAAAATCTAACTCTCCATAGAATTATACACTTATCCAAAGATAATGACAGGGTTTATATACATCATTAAATTTTTCCTTTAAATAATCAATGACACACTGGCTTTATATATACATTACATACGAGGGCCATCCAGGAAGTAGATTACGTTTCCCTCTGTGTCCGCTAGGGGCGGGGCTAGCGCGGCCATCTTGGGGTCAGAGCGTTGCGCAGCTCAGTCTGCATCTAGCCGTGCTAGTGAGAGGTTCATGCTGTGCTCCGTTCAGATACTGTGACGGTTTGAAATTGTCTGCGTAATTGAAAATCCCACGAGCTGCGAGGTGCGCTCAGTAATAAGGTTTCTGACTGCAAAAAACTGTAAACCGATAGAAATCTATCGGCAGCTTCGTGAAGTGTATGGGGACAACATTATCACTGAAGGTGGAGTGCGTCAGTGGGTCATAAGATTTCAAAATGTCCGAACCAATGTTCACGACAAAGATCGAAGTGGGAGACCCAGCATAGTGACCGCCGAACTTCTCGAAAAAGTCGATGCTAAAGTCCGTGAAAATCGAAATTTCACAATAACGGAACTTCTTTTGGTTTTCCACAATTTCGCGAAGTTTGTTGCACGAAATCATCAGCGAAAAGCTTGGTTACCACAAGTTTTTGTGCAAGATGGATTCCAAAAATCTTGACAGAGGACCAAAAAATCAGCGAATGGCTGCAGCGTTGAACTTTTTGGACGCTTACCATAAGGATGGTGACTCTTTACTCGATCGCATCGTTACTGTGACGAAACATGGGTGAAACATGTGAACTGTGAAACGAAATTGCAATCAATGCAGTGGGGGCACACAAGTTCTCCCCAAAAACCCAAGAAATGCATGCAAACAAATGTCGGCAAGGAAGATGAGGCGACTGTTTTTTGGGACAGAAAAGGTGTTAATTTTGGTGGGACTTCCTGGAAAGAGGCACTACAATAAACTCTCAAAGGTATTGCCAAACTGTCCCAAAAACTCAGAAGAGCAATTCAAACAAGCGCAGAGGATGTTGAGCTCTAAGATCTTGTTGATTCACGACAACGCCCGGCCCCACACGGCAAATGTCACTCGTAAAGTTCTTGAATCTTTTAAGTGGGAGTTTTTTCCTCATCCGCCGTAACTTCCCGACCTGGCACCGAGCGACTTCCAACCTATTCCCAGCAATGAAGAAGTGGCTGGCTATGCAGCGTTTTGATGACGACGCACAGCTGCAAGAAGAGGTAACGAAGTGGTTGAAGGCGCAGGCGGCCGAATTTTTCGACGAAGGAATTTCCAAGCTCGTACATCGCTACGATAAATGCCTTAATTTGTATGGTGACTATGTAGAAAAGTAGTATTTGAGTGTGGCTTTCATCTGTATATAATAAAATTTGTTTCCTATACTTTGTTTATTTTTTTATTCCAAAACGTAATCTACTTTCTGGATAGCCCTCGTATATTTACTTCCATATAATTTTATTAATTTCTAAAATTTTCACTTTTGCTTTTGCAGTGATGTAATTAGAGGCTGCAGTGATGAAATTTTGCCTCAGAGACAATTGAGAAGCTTCTAAAAAATTCATGTCAAAAAAAAATCTATGAAATGATAAAACAATATATATTTATTTAAAAGTTACTTGTTTCTTTCAACATTTTACCAACCAATAGCCTACTAATTGGCTTTTTTGTCACTGGCACTTACCGACTGATAGCCTATTGATCAGCCTTTTGTCCCAGATCCTTAACCCCCAACAGTCTATTAATTGGTTGCCACGGAGACGAAGTCGTTTTGTTATTTAGTTTGAGGCACAGCTAGTTGCATTGCTCTGTAAGCTCACACAGTTTGTTATCATTTTGAAAAATTATTGTTTGCAATGTACCAAAAAAATAGCATTGGAGAGTTTTATTTAGATGACCTCTCAGATTGTCCTGACAGTTATTCCAGAAGTGATTGTGGTGATGAAAGTTATGGGAGAAATATAATAATTCAGAAGCCAGATAAATTTAAATGCAACAACTGTATACAAAACATGAAGATATAAAACATGCTGTAATTAATACTTTAAAGCAATTTGACATTTTTACTCCAAAAATGACTTATTTGATCTGCTTTAGCCAAGAATAAGTATTTACATAAATTTTTGTTTCAAATAGTATTGCAAAGTTCTCTGTTTAGCAAATGATTATATAATTTTTGCATTCTATATGTTTGTATCTCCCCCTCTGTACTTTTGAAAATTTGCTGCATCAGTTACTGTATCAGCGAAAAAGAATAAATGTTTAGGCTCCATTTATGGCCATCTAAATATTTAGCCATAATTTTAGTACTCTTTGATTATCTGCATCCCTGGTAAAAAGTCACATAAATGTATTCAGAAGACAAAGCAATATGTTACCAAAATAGTTATGCGGCAACCCAGGTATGCTCATAGCACATGTCTGTTTTGGCTGGTACACAATATCAAAGTTGTGCAGATGCCCCAAATTTCTGCAATTATCTCTTTCTTTTTCTTTTTTTTTTTTTTTTTTTTTTTTTTTTACATTTATCTTACTTTGAATATGGTTGTTGCCTTTTGTGCATCACCTTGACAAAAAATTAGTAAACAATGAGTCTGCAAACGCTCTTTAAAGTCAGCATCAAGTTTACAACTTTTCAGTGAGAGTACATGCAATCAGAAAGTACCATACTTTTTTGTAGTGAGAAGGGGGGGGAGAATTTTAAAATGAGCAGTTTCTCAGACAGGATATTATTCTTTGTGCATTAAAAGTTGATACATCTGGTTAATATATCAAATCACATCACAGTAGACCAGAATAATTAAGTGCACGAAATTTATGCTGCATCATTAGGGAAATGCTACTTAAATGACAGGTGTCCAAAACCTTGTACATTAAATAAAAAAGCCAGCTAGCTCTTTTGTAATCAATAATTTATATTCATTATTTGTTGACACACACCTTTCCTTTACAAGTGCATGACTGTTGAATTGAAAGATCCATAAACTCAAATTATTGGAAATGTACAAAACTGTACAAACTGAACTCATTATTGGAAATGTACAAAACTGGATTAGATAACTGATTAAGAATCTCATATACCGTGATAAAATGTAGTTTTATAGATTAAGAAACTAGCAACTAACAAACTTGCTGATGTTGCTGATTATTTAAACATAGGTGCCTTATACAGAATCATACCATTTTTTCCTAAGTATCCCAAAAGCATTTTAAGTCTTGCTAATGGATAAACAACCATAGTTTTTCTATAAAATGCAATGAAGCTGCTACCAAATGACAACACTTGCCATTATGCAAAATAAGTATCTTTGATTTATCTACAATGATGTTATTTGCTAGGATGATAAATGCATGGTATGTTACTCAACAAAACATTACATCAAATCACATCACATAATTCACAATATAATAGTCTGAAAATTTTGGCACAACTCTAATAAAAAGGTTTAAAATGATAACAAGGTATTAAATGCTATGTTAGCATGTTTCTTCATAAGTAGCTTTAAAAGAATTGAAACGGTTAGGATTAGTTCTTTTGAGAAACGTTTCCACAGAAAGCTTCTTAATACAGAAAACACATATTCTGCAACTTGTCATCTATATAATAAATGTCTGGATATATCCATGAATAAACACAGTCATTTATCTGTTTTGACAAAGCATATGAAAAAACCATACTGAAAACTATGACTTAATGGATCACAAGTTCACATAATTTATTGCATCAAATACTTTTTATAAATTCCTTTAGACAAGAATATCTAAAACTGCAAATTTCACAATCCTTTAGTAAATACCAGTGTACTGATACCCAATGGGTTGGTTCTCAACTGGGTAAGGAGGAACTTTTCTCTTGGGGGGAGGATTTTCATAGTTTCAGGGAAAAATGCAGTCAGCCTTTTACTTAGCTGTTAAGGATTTAGTTTATGAATATAAAAAACTACTTGTATTGAAGTTTTGGTATGTATCAATAATTTCTATAATTTCTTTCTAAGTTATAAAACACAATAAAAAATAAGTTAAATTTTAATAAATGCTGATGTATTTTTCAAATTTTTGAAAGGAAGGTGGGATTAACCATCTAACAGTGGTAAAAGAGGTGCCTGGAGAAAAAAAGGTTGAGAAGCACTGAGATAACTATTAAAAAAAAAAAGTCCAATGTCCAATAAGGATCTTAGATGACCCCTGCTTTAATGGGATTTAAAATCCAATATTGTGTTGATAATAAAACAATTGAAAGGAAAAGTTGATGAAAAGTAGAAAAAAATGTAATTTAAAAAAAAAAAAAAAAAAGATAAAATAACACTAAATAATTAAAATAAATTTTTGTACTATTTTGCTCATTTTATACGAAAAATCTAAAAAATTATATTATTGTAGTGCTAAAATTCTTACAACAAGCTTACTTCTCGAATCCTTGAGATAAATCTCCAAATTCATGGATATGAAGGCCATGTTCTCCAGGCTTAAGACCATCAATAGTACCATCAATAATGCACAAGTTATTTTCATCTTGATGGAAACGAATAACACCCAGAATACTTTCACCTTTTAATTCTGCTACTGCAGATACTGTAATACCTGCATCTGAAATGTAAAAAAGTATTTATGGGTGATTTGTCATGGTCTGAAGATATGCACTCCTAAAAGGATAAAAGTTAATACATTTCAGATAATGTTAAATACTGATACTAAATGGCATACAGATAATAATGGATTATGGGTTGTAGGATTTATGAAACACACTATTAGCTACAAAATTATGCATTCAATAGACAATAATGATTTGAATACATAATTTTCTAGTTTCACTCAATACAAATTAGTTAATAAAATTAGAACACATTGATTAAACCAGCAAAATAAAAATCAGTCAGTTGAGTTGACATATCTAAAATTCTTGTGAAAAAATAAAGTTGTTGGGTCTCTAACTAAAAATTTTTGGTACTTACATATTATCACAACCACCTTATTAGTAGTTGCCAAATTTCAAGAAGTCGCCACACTATAGCAACCATACACATATAACTGCTTTTGATGTAACCACATCCATTGCCAGTTGTAATTCAATATACTTTGTAATTCAAATATATTGACAACTCAGTACTCAGTTCCAAGACTGACATTTCTTTAAATAATTCTAACATGTTTAATTAGTCATAAAATAACTTACTTTAAACTAGAAATAAATAAATTACAAAAACTTATGTTTCCAGAGAAATTTACCAGCTGAGACAAACCTGAGAATATATAATAGTAATCTAGTTCCTTTCTCTTGTTTATTATTTTTTTTTATGCACAAATTAAAATTTATATGTTTGTTTGCTAATAAGAAATTTTATTTTAATTCTGAGAAAATTTTGATTCTGATTCTGCTTGGAGAGAATTACTACAAATTTTCTTCATCACAAACTGTAGATGCTCACAAGTCAATAGTCAATTGGGTTTTTTCTTATCAATTTTCCACAGTGAAAAAAAGCTGTGCGCATATAAATGTATTCTGCAAACAAAGTGATAATTTTAGCATAAAAATTTACAACTGAGTGCAGTTATTTTTTGACAAGTACCAATAATAGTTAATAAAATCTGTATCTTCGAATAAGATTTATATCACATTGGGAATTAATAAATTCCAAAGATTTTCAAGTGCGCTATTTTTGTTCATTATTAATGATACTGAAAATAAAGCAAACTCAGACTTCAAATAACTAAAATCTTGAGATCTTGGCTATGCTATATTTGCAGCAAATACATAATTGAAAGATCTTCACAGGCCATCATCTTTAAGCCACTGCTTGAAACTCACTTGTAACATATTTGAGTAGCAAGTCAGAATATATTCCAGAGCATGGAAAATCATCCTATGGAAAATAAATGGTTCATTGTAAGAGGATCAAAATTTATATTTATAGTGAATTTTGGTTCTGGATAAGTGATTTTTAGCAAATAACTAAAGCATTTGAATCAGAGTTCCAAATACAGAAGCATGAAAAATCCCCTTAATGCCATCAGAAACATGTTCAGTAGTGCTAATAAGAATATGAATTTCATGAGCACAATTGCAACAACATCCTTTAAAGTGGGCAGAACAGATAAAAAAGAAAAGACAAAATGAATATAACCATAACAACTATTCATTTATATATACACATTTAGAAAATATTTCCTATATTCTCAGAAATTTGGGTTTGTTTTGGGCTTTCTTTAAGAAATCCTCCAAAGTATAATCTTATTCATTTTTTAAATGATTTTCATATTAATAGTCTTCCTATTACATTTAAATTAAATCTATAAAAAATAAGCAATGACAATTTTAGAAATAAGTAGCTCTCATCAAAAATATCTAGTAAATTTCAATTCAAAATCCAAATTTTTCTGCAAGAAGTTTATTTATATACTTTAAAAATTTTTTATGAATTCTATAAAGTAATACAGTCAAAAGTCGTTAATTCGGACACCCATAATTCGGAATGATCTATAATCCGGACCTCAAAGCTAAAAACTTTCTGCGCATGCGCCGCGTTGACACATGCGCATAGGCGTTTACGCATGCGCGTAAGATCTTTTTACGACCGCGCATATGAGTGTGCGCAAGCGCAGAATGCGTTTTCGCGTGCGCATTTTATGTATAACGGACGGTATAATCTAAAATTATCTAATTATCTATTTCAGTTAATGTTGATGATTTGCGTTGTTCCTTAATTTTCGAATTGGATCCGGCTTATTATTTTTTGCAGACTGTAAGAGCAATACTATAAAACTAAACTTGAACTTTCAATTATGTCAAATAGAATTTCCGATTCTGGAGCTGCCGAAGGATCGCACAAAACGAAAGTATGTTTCGATGTTCATCAAACAAAAAGTGGAATTGCTGCAAAAAATGGATAAAGACATGAAGAGTGTGACAGAAAGGTTAGTGAAAACGAAAAAAATTTTGTTTGACAAGTAGTCGGTATTCTCGGCAGCAACAACGGGACTTGAACAACGGAACTTTGTAACTGACAAGAAATTATGTCTGTTTATATAAATAAAGAGAAAGTATTATCACATAAAACGAAGCAACTTACATTGAAAGAAAATGTTTAATAAAGTAAACAAATAAATATTAAGCTTTTTTTTTTTTTTTGTAAATTTTGATACCCTTTAGATCATAATTGTACTTTATTTCATAAATTACGGTTTTATATTTTTAATTTTAGAATTTCTGCATGCCATCTTACCAGATTTAAACTGATGATCTATAATCCGGAAAAATCGATAATCCGGAATCACCGAAGTCCCAATGAGTCCAGATTAAAGACTTTTGACTATATATTGCTCGTTTTGTCGTTTAAACAGTAAAATGACAGAATGTGGTATGATTAATTTGAAGTTTCTTTGTGATTTGGAAAGAAAAGAGAAAAGAGCATTACTTGACTGGTGTGATTACTTGACTGGGTGACTGGTGGATCTATAATCCGGAAAAATCGATAATCCTGAATCGCCGAAGTCCCGACGAGTCCGGATTAACGACTTTTGACTGTATTATTTTAGCAAATAAATCCTATTAATATATTAAGGAATCCATTGAATTTTAATGCATGATGTCACATTATTTTAATTACACAATTTCATTTTGAAATTACACTTTAAAATAATATAAACATAATACATTTATATTAAATTAAGCATTATAGTATTAATAAAGGAGTTATAATTTCAAGATATAAAAAGAGCATATTATTTTTTTTCATAATTTTATCATCTATAATGATTAAATTTCATTAATTTTTGTATTTTTTAATTCTTAATAATTATAATAAACAGAACTATTAGATATACCAACCTGAAATTCCATAACCCTTCAAAACAGCTCTTTTTCCAGTGCTTTGAATTGCTTCTTTCACAGTCTGAGATGGAAGTGATGTTTCTACAATTACGCTTTGTCTTTCAACATCAATGTCTACAATATTCACATCAGTTAAACGTGATAAGGCATTTCTAACTGAAGAAGCACAGTTGTTGCACATCAGATTTACATCAAATTCTACCTAGAAGTTCATTGATATATTATATATTGAAAAATAGGAATGCAGAGAAGAAAAGCAAAAAATTACATTAAAAATATTAATTATTACTCACAAAATATTAAATAATAATGTGCATCTTCTCTTAAAAGAAAAAAAAAAAAAAAAAAAAAAAAGCTGAAATTCTGTCTGGCATGAATGTCATCATCTTGTAGAATTTAAAGTTATAAATGTTCATCTTATCTTCAAGCATCAAATCCACATGCACAGTTCAGGCAAAACTACCCAATAACTGCACCATTATTCTATTTTTTGGTTCATATAATCCCTACAGGAATCCTACAAGATTTAAATGCAAAGATTTTTGAAGACTATTTGAAGTATGAGAATAAATACATCATAATATTTAATATGTCCATCAAACAGAACTCTAACTCTGAACATACAATATTTGTCATTTTAGAATGTGAGGCAGGCATTTCATGTTCATTCTAAAAAGAAATGCCAAAAAAAAGTAAAAACCAGTTATCTAGAAATCCAGTGTTATTCTTCTGCTTCAAGAGACATCTTCACTTCAAAACATCTTCACAGGATATCATGCAACACATCCCAACTTAAATAACATTTAAATACGTTCCTTGTTTAAAATAATCATGCAGTTATTACATGTGCTTACCTTCCATCATTCAAATAAAACAGCAATGCAATTATCCAATAACATAAAACGTTTTGAAGCATCAACAGCCTAGAAATCACACATTCCCTGCATATTTGCCTAGTTCCCAGTACAGTGATACAGATCTTTGAATATGCAGTAGAGAAGGAACAGCAGACTGCTATACATTTGACTGCCCACAAACATCAAGATGACACCTTAAAAAAACAGCTTCCACAAATATGTCAATGTCCTAATGCTAGTAGTAACAAATCTGTACAAAATTGTTACTGCTAGTAGTAACAAATTTGTATGAAATAAAATTGGCTGTTATTGTATAATGTGCAACTGCTTACTTAGCCATGTCAAGCAATATGCAGTTTACTCCAAACACATTCATCGTAAGAATTTCCTACTGCAGTAGGACATTTAAAGGATTCTACTTTCCAAATCACCTCTAAATATACATATAGAACATATGTAATAAATTGTGATATTAAGATATGTAAATTAAAAAATAATAATAATAAATAAATTTATTTATTCAGGGGAAATACCATACATTCATTGGAATTGAATTTTATAATAGGCATTTACAATACAGAATAAGAAATGTATAAAGAAGCAATACGATTTAAGTGTAAAAGTAAATCTAAAGCACAGATCTTTCAACTATTCCTTAAAAGAAGAATATGGAGGCTACCTATGAAAATGGAGCATTTAATTCTTACAGAAAGATTCTACAAATAAAAAAGAGAAAAGTATTTAACTTTTATAAGAAGTTAAAAGGTAAAAGGACAAGTAATTTATGAAGAAGAAAAAAGGAACAAAGGAAAAAGTAACTCACAAGAATTTTTTTCTTAACTGTCCAATAAAGGAAAGAAGGGGAAAGTGCTACATGATTCAGCCATAGAAAGGAATAAGAAAAGGAACTATGTCACATTACAATTATAATAAATGTACCTTTGTATTTGCTAACCAGTAAAAACTACTGTCTATTTACTAGTTAAAACATTTTCATTAAATAAGAATGTTTCATTAAACGTAGAAGGGGAAAATTTTACAGGAAGATATTATATTAAAAAAATAGAGAATAAGATATTAAGTTATTTATGAAGAAACCACGAGCACGAGAAGAAGATGAAATTAACGAAAAGGGAAGTGAGAATTTAAGAAGAAATAATTCATAATGATGGATTTCATATTTGTCCTATATATGAAGAATGAAGGGAACATAATGGAAGTTACAGGAAGAGAAGAAGCTTAAGGAATTAAGATATAAATGAAGATACTCCATAGTATAAGGATAACTAAAAATTTAGGAAATAAGGAGTAGTATTCAAGAGGATATAGCTAACGAAGGACTACTTAATCGTTTATGGAAAGGCAGAAGAAGGAGGCTTCAAAGGAAAAAGATTTAAAGAGAAAAGGTATAAAATTACTAATAAAGGTTTTACAAAGAAAAAAAAAAATTTTTCTGTAAAAGATGGAAAGAATATGTTAACAAGTAATTCATAAAGATGGATTTCTTATTCGCTATATTAAGTAAAAAGATGAAGGATATATAGGAAGAAAATACATATAAAATGGAGGAAAGAAATTAAGATAGAAGAAAGGAAGATTTAACAAAAGATTATATAACGAAGATTAAATGAAAGAGAAGAATGAAAAAAAGAAGAAGAACGAAAGAGAAGAACTTGTTGAAGAAGAACGAGGGAATAAGTTTCAAACGTATTTTACTAAGGACAAATTTCGAGATTTTATACAGAATTACTTACAAAGATACACTTCATGAAGGACTATAAAAAGTATTACTTTAAGATTTTTATTTTTATTTATTTTTTTTTTTATATGGCAATGTAAAAAACCTTTGATTTATTAATAAATACTAGATAAGGGCAGACATGGGCAGAACCGATTAAACCGTAATGGTAGAGGGATGGTGCCCACATCCTCTGTTACTACTACTACAGCAGTAGGAGTAAAGCAGCACACTCTGCATCTATGGTTCAGCATTGCTATCCATATTCAGCTTTGTACATCGTTCTGTATTCATATGCATATTTTCAGTTTGAAATTTGTTATCAAGTGTCCACATGTTTAGATCACATGTTATCCTACATAAACTTCCGTACTAACTTGAGCAATTTAGTTATGTTCATACCAATCTGTTACAATTCTGTCTTTCACTGATTGCTCAAGGTCATGCATATACTTAAGTACAGTAAATCTTTATATTCTGTCACGATTAAACTGTTTCCATGCTTTATGCCCCCAATTCAACAAAACTCATATCCCTGTCATAGCCCTAATATCTTCCAACAAATTGGCATCCAAACTCCGTATGGCTAAGACTCCGAATGGAGGCCAAGTCAAAGGGCATCCAGTCTAGAAATTATGACTGCAAACCTAATACACTCAAAAGTCTTTAATCCGGACTCATCGGGACTTCAGTGATTCCGGATTATTGGTTTTTCTGGATTATAGATCATCAATTTAAATCTGGTAAGATGGCATGCAGAAATTATAAAATTAAAAATGTAAAACCATAATTTATGAAATAAAGAGCATTTATGATCTAAAGGGTATCAAAATTTACAAAAAAAAAAAGCTTCATATTTATTTGTTTATTTCATTAAACATTTCTCTCAACGCGCGCATGCGTAAAGCATGCATAGTCGAAATTAGAAAATTGCAACCAGAAAACTATTTGATGTGTATTCGTGATATTTATAATGATGAGAAATTTGATTTAAATCATATCAAAGACGGAGTACATCGAGATGATATACTACATTTAGTAAGGAATTATCAACTTCCAGTTCATTGCGCACCGCGACGTCCCCCCCCACAGAGCAATTTGAAATTGATAAACGGATTTCGGAATGGTTAGAGAAACAAAGGATATATCTTTATCCATTTTTTGCAGCAATTCCGCTTTTTGTTTGATGGACATCGAAACATGCTTTCGCTTTGTAGATCCTTTGGCAGCTCCAGAATCAGAAATTCTTTTGACATAATCAAAAGTTCAATCTTACTTTTATAAAATTGCTCTAACAGTCTGCAAAAAATAATAAGCCGGATCCAATTCGAAGATTAAGGAACAATGCAATCTGCAACATTAACTGAAATAGATAATTAGATAATTTTAGCTTAGCTTATACCATCCGTTATACATTAAATGTGCATGTGTAAACGTATTATGCGCACATGTAAGCGCAGAAAGTTTGTAGCTTTGAGGTCCGGATTATAGATCATTCCGGATTATGGACGTCTGGATTAAAGACTTTTGACTGTATAATCATGCTGCCTCATGAATAGCTCTTAAGAACATTTTCATCTTAAGCACTATGCTTCTGATATGGCATGTAATTTCCTGCTAGCACTTGCTTTAAAATTTGTTGCTCTGAACATATTATTTACAAATCAATTTAACATTCATTCTCATTTGCCAAATCTCAATACACAGCTAGTATTCACACTGGAGTATCCACTATTGATTCTAAGATATCATAACTTAAGATTAGAAATGGTTATTACTTTCTGTGCACTGAACTTATATAAATTATCAATTTTAAAACACCCAAGATGCATTAAAATTTCTAAGTTTCAAAATCTTTATATAGTACAAAGTAAATCCAGATACCATAATATTCAGAATGATCTAAAATCCAAATTATCTGGATCATCATCAATCTTTTTTTAATTAATTAATTTTTTTTATAGTTTACACTTGGGCATTTGATATTTTTCATACATAAAATATATGGAGAGTCCCAATTCTTAATTTCACTTTGGCACTAATACCAACCTGGTGAATCATCATTTACTTTCATCACTGCATGACTATCAACGCACTGCAGCTTAAGAAATGACTCATACAGCAATATGTAAGTATTTTTTTTTAAATATTTTAACTGAATACCAAAGAACATGGTAACCTTTTTCTATGTTGACATTATGCTTGGTGATAATTACAGACTTAAGTTCACTCTACAGTTATCATAATTTCCAAGCACTGATTTAAGACCTTATGGAATAAATAAAACATAAAAAAAATGGGGTAAGAAATGGTTTATTTTACTCTGATCAAAAATCGTTAAAACAATCTAATAAAATGAACCGGTAGAATAATAAAAAAGATGAAAGGCAAATGCTTCTTTTAGCCCAAGCATATTTTAAAGTTGATTTGATTAATTATATCATTTTCTTCTTTCACACGATCGCAAAATTTAGCACAAATAATTTTAAAACTATAATGATAAATTAAAATTCCTTCAACTGTCTCCCTTGATAACCTGTTTCTTTCGTCTGACCACCGAGTTGACATTAGAGAAAATATTTTCTCCATATTTGCTCTGTGGGCTGG